TCTCTTGTCAGTGGGAGTCGGTCTTCAAAAACATTTAAGCCCAAGAAGAACATCCCCGAAGGCTCCCATCAGTACGAGCTCCTGAAACATGCGGAAGCCACGCTGGGGAGTGGTAACCTCAGACAAGCAGTTATGCTGCCGGAGGGCGAGGACCTTAATGAGTGGATTGCAGTTAACAGTAAGTGCTACAAAAGAGGGATGCACTCAAGCGTGGAGGTGAATGGGAAACCCCAAAATCTCTGGGGTTTAGCCTCAGAAGAAGCTTGAAATTCCCTGAATGACGTTCTTCCCCCCAGGCATGCTCTATTTAGGTGACTGAGTTGGGATAAAAGGAAAGTAAAGGTGCAAAAAGTGATGTGCAACCCTGCCCTGTTGTGGTTTTGGGGTGGGGTTTTCTGAGTTCAGACTTGCCAAGGGGATGAGGTGTGTGAATGGTTATTTTCGTACTGGGCAGCAACCCTCCTGTGTCACTCTTTGGAATTAGGAATTAGTGTTGTCAACTGTGAAAGCAGTGGCAGCAGATAATCCAGGGGAAAAGTGGAACAGTGTTTTCCACTGAACTGTGGGTTTGTAGACTTTCTTGTTTTCTAAGAAAATTTGGGGTCTTCAGCCTGGAGAAGAGAAGCTGTGTGGAGACCTCCGAGCAGCTTCCAGTGTCTGAAGGGGGCTACGGATGCTGGGGATGGACTCTTCGTCAGGGACTGGAGCGACAGGACAAGGGGTGATGGGTTCAAAATGAAACAGGGCAAGTTCAGGCTGGAGATAAGGCAGAAACTCTTCCATGTAAGGGTGCTGAGGCACTGGCACAGGGTGCCCAGAGAAGCTGTGGCTGCCCCATCTGTGGCAGTGTTCAAGGCCAGGTTGGGCACAGGGGCTTGGAACAACCTGCTCTAGGGGAAGGTGTCCCTGCCCGTGGCAGGGTGTTGGAAATAGATGAGTTTAATGTCCTTTTCAACCCAAACCATCCTGTGATTCTAGTTTCATTTTAGTTTTACTGCATGCATAGTTTAAAAAGCCAGAAGCTACACATTTATTTTGCTTTTAGCAGTCGCTATTCCTGGCCTTGAACATTGTTTCTTTGGAGGCTGAAGGAGGAAAGGGTAGTTTTGAACGATGGAGGACAGTAAGTCAGGCCACAAGCATTCAACCTAATGAAGATCTCTCACATATTATCAAAATCAGTCAGGTTTTTGAGGTACTGTAAAGGTGTCTGGGACCTAAAGCAGTCCAAGGTATGTCAAGCTCAATGGAGCTTCGTGCCACACAAATCAGTTGGTGGTGGCAGCCAGAGGGTGAATAAATGACGCAGCAATTCCAGTTCCTAGATGCTCCAAAAGTCATGGAAGTCATCAGTGATGTGACACTATACAGAAGGAGGATGCTTGTTTTTGCTGGGAGCTCTGTGGGCCCATGACAGTGATCCTCAGAAGCTGTGTTGGCTGCAGGAGGGTGATCCGGCACTGCATCAGCTTTGTGTCACATGTGGAGTAAACTTGATGTGTTTCCTTTCCAGCGGTGGATTTCTTCAACCAAATCAACATGCTATATGGGACCATCACAGAGTTCTGCACAGAGGCAAGCTGCCCAGTCATGTCTGCAGGACCAAGGTGAGATGCTTCCTGTGGTCTCTGGCTGCAGTTTCTATGCAGATGGGTGCAGGGGTCACTCAAGCATGTGCAGAAAGAAGCTAGAAAGAGGATGGGACGTGTCCAGATCAGGTCAAGGTACAGTACTGTGCTCTCCTGGGGTCATTTATCCATACATGAAGCCACACTATTTGTTGGGGAGGCTGTGTGTAGCCATCAGTCAGTATCTGTCCAGGGGAAGTATGCATGAGGATCTTTTTTATTCACTGTTGATTGGGTCCCTGTGTTTAGAAGCTGAAAAGGTTGTTGAAATAGTTTGTCTTAAAGAAAATGCGAGACCTGACTTGAGTGGAAGTGTCTGGTCTGGATGTCAAAGACTCAAGTAACCTGTCAGTGCTCACAGAGCTGATGCTCTGAGAGACCAGAGTGTGGTTTTTCTAAGCACAAGTGATTCTAAAGCCAGGAAGTGCTTATAGAGACAGGTACATGTGGTAGGGACCAGCCAAGTGTCTTCTGGGTCTTCCCTATGCTGCATCAAGGCTGGTATTATCTGCCTTGTTGAATCAGTCTGTCACATCCTGCCCTGCTTTTCTACCCACAAGTATCTAGGTGCAAGTTCCTGTTTCTATACTGGGGGATGTTTCCTGTAAGAGTTTCCTGTTTAAATGGCTCTGGTTTTGCTTGTTGCTGGTCAAGATGCAACAGACTAAGCACACCAGGGGGGAGGATTCTCTGCTCTTGAGGCATTTTGCAGAAGATCTCCAAGAAAGTGGGTTGTGCCAAGTGAACATCAGCCCTGGTTTGGAGGAGTCATGGGATCAGTGACCACATATGTTGATTTGAGCTGCTGGCTTCCAAAAGCCTTTGGCTAACGTGCAGCCCTGGGGAGGGCCTCTTGCAGAGCTCATCCACCTCATGAGAGGGGAGAAGGAGCACCAGATTCCTGGAAGCTGTCTGAAAGCCATCAGTGAATTGATTTGAATGGTGGGCAACAGCCCTGATGCTTCCTTTTTGGCCAGTTTGTGTTTTAATTTAAGGAAATGCTGATGGAGGAGGTTGCCACAAAGTAGAAGTTCACTTTTGAGGGTTAAACCCCCAAGGGTGGTCACAATGGAGGCATTAACTCCACTCTGTCGTGTTGTGCTTGAGAAACTCAAAGTGCTGCTCTTGTTGCTTTAGAGGAGCATTAGCATTGCTGCGTTGCTCCTTACTGGGATAAGGAGGAAGCTGCAAGGCCTGGAAGTGCAGTTTTATTTCTCCTTGAGCAGAGAATTGATTTTTCCCTCCCTCTCCCCACAGGTACGAGTACCACTGGGCAGATGGCACCAACATCAAGAAGCCTATCAAGTGCTCGGCCCCGAAGTACATCGATTACTTGATGACGTGGGTGCAGGACCAGCTGGATGATGAAACCCTCTTCCCCTCCAAGATAGGTAAGTGTGGCCTCACTGCTGCCATGTCTGGCTTTGGTTCTCCTGACCAAACTGAAGGACTCACCTGTGCTCTTGGAGACATTGAGGTGCTGGAGTTGGGTCCAGAGAAGGACAGTGGAGCTGGTGCAGGGCCTGGAGCACAGGTGTGATGAGGAATGGCTGAGGGACCTGGGGGAGTTTAAGTCTGGAGAAGAGAAGGCCCAGGAAGCACCGTATCACTGCCTGATGGGAGGTTGTAGTGAGGTGGGGTCAGTCTCTTCTCCCAAGGAACAAGCGATGGGACAAAAGGAAATGGTCTCAGGCTGCACCAGGGGAGGTTTAGATGGAGATGAGGAGCAATTCCTTCCCCAGAGGGTGCTCAAGCATTGGAACAGGCTGCCCAGGGCAGGGCTGGAGTCATCATCCATGGAAGTGTTCACACACCGTGGAGACAAGGCCCTCAGTGCCATGGGTTAGTGGTGGCCTTGGCAGTGCTGGGGAACGGTTGGCCTTGATGTTAAAGGTCTTTTCCAACCTGGTTGATTCTATGATTCAGGGGTCCCTTTTCCCAAGAACTTCATGTCAGTGGCCAAGACGATCCTGAAGCGGCTGTTCCGTGTGTATGCCCACATCTACCACCAGCACTTCGACTCTGTCATGCGGCTGCAGGAGGAGGCCCACCTCAACACCTCCTTCAAGCACTTTATCTTCTTTGTGCAGGTGAGTTGTGAAACAGTGAGATCTCTGGGGTTTGTCATTCCCCACTTGCTTTTAAGGGGAGCTGGATTTCAACACCTCTTTGCTCTTCAAGGATCTGTGGTGTACCCTGTATGAGCCACTCGGCTCCCACCCTCTGTGCCATGTGAACCATGCAGCTGTGGGTTTTATTTTTGGGGCATTTTTACAGGAAGCATGGTCAAGCTGGCTGTAAATGCTTGAATTTCCTTCTTGGGTTTTAGCTGTCAGCCTGCAGGAAAAGCAGCCAGGCTCAGAGGGGAACTTTGTGGGTTTGTAGCTCCAAGAATCAGCTTAGAAATGGTGGTGGCACCCTTTTTCCTTGCCAGTACTTCAACAACCTGTTCCATTTGACTGCACATGTGACTTGCGCTGAGGAGCTTGGTGACAGCAGAAAATATTCCTTTGTCCTGAAATGCCTGAATTTCTCTGCAGAGAAATGAGAGGACGGTTTGATGTTCTCCTGGGCGCTGGCACGCATTGACACAGCAGCTTCCCAGCACACGTACTGGGATGTGTTCTCCAGAAGCACTTTGAGTGGTGCCTTTAGTTTTTGTGTTGCTCTTTCCCTGCCAGGAATTCAACTTGATTGACAGGCGGGAGCTGGCTCCTCTGCAGGAACTGATTGAGAAGCTGGGCTCCAAGGACAGATAAGACTTTTCCAGGGAGGACCCTTTTTGGCTGTTCCTTTCTGCTTTATACTCCAGCCACTTCCACGCTTCTGCTGTGCAGCCCCAGCCTCTGGAGCCCACCTGGTTCTCCAGGCTGTGTGTGTGCACAAGCCCAGCAAAGACTGTGCTCTGGTTGAAGATGGGACCTGGACTTGGAGCAGGTTTGGTTCCCCATAGGTGTGGGGTGAAGCTCCGAGTGCTGCTCAGCTGCTTTGTCCTCCCAGAGGTAAAGTTTTCCTCTGTGCCTAAGCCCGGAGTGGCTCAGCTTATTTTTGGAAGTGCTTATTTTTGCAGAAGAGGTGCACTTTGGCCCAGAGCCTTCACCTCCCCTTTGGCAGCAGTGTTGGAGGAGAGGAAGAAAAGTGCCTGGTCCTGGGCTGAAGGTGTTCACACAGTGGGGAGCTGAGGGAGGGACCCCACCATGTGGCAAGGCAATAATAAAGTTTCTCCTTCCTGCTGTTCTTTCAGAGGAAGAGGGGGTGCATCCTCTTCCTTCTTTCCCTTGAACCCCACCAGCCCCTGTGCACAGGTGCCTTGACTAAAAACACAGCCCATGGGGAGAGTTGGAAGGAGGCAGCACCAAACAGCACAGGAGATGTCTGGAAGAAGGCAGCACCTTTATTGCTCAGGGTTTAGGGGTGGAGGTGAAGATTCGCAGTCCGTGCATGCTCTTGATCTCCTCACTTAGTGCCTGCAATGACAAGCACCACGCTGAGGGGGAGCAGCAGCTCTGAGTGAAGTGCTTGTGCACAGTGCAAGGGGAGAGTATTACACTACTGTCAGAATGCTGTGTGTGTGCACACACTGCTCAGGTACTCTCTGGTGTATGTGAGAACGAGCACTGCACACCAGGCACACAACTGCTGCTCTTACTACACTAAACAGCAACCAAGTGCTCCACAGTCTGTTTTAGGCACTGTGCATGTGCACAGCCCTTTACTTAACACCAACACTTGTGTACACACACTTCAGAGCATCACAAGATGTTGTAAGCAGTGGGCCCAGGTGTAAGGGTTACACATGGTGCAGCACCCTCACTTAAGGGGGTTACACACACTATCATTTAAGGACTGTGGTGGTTATTGATGTCTAAAGAAAGGAAGAGCTGCAAAGTCCTGGACACAGTATACGTTGTGTGTTGTGCGCTCACAATGAGTAGTAACCTCAGAACACCAATAAAAACATGCACACGTAAGTGCCCCACCACCTATTTGTGAGGGGCAAAAAAGGGAGGACTCCTATTTGCATCACTGTGACATACAGCACTTGTGCATGTGTGTGCCCAGGTGTATGCACACACAGTGTTGTAGCTGTGAGGGAAGGGCTACACTGGTTGTTACAGAGGGGAGGTAAATAAAGGGGTTCCATTCTGGCCACTCAGCCTCATACTGCCTGTGACACCCTGAGGTGGGTAGTTAAGTGTGCTCAGTTCACAGCTATACTATCGACTGAGAGGGAAAGCTACACTGGGTTTACTGGGAAGGAAGGGGGGGGGGAAGAAGGGTGATGCTGTTAGACACTATCAGGCACAGCATGTCACAGGCAGCACTATGTGTGTGCACAGTAGCGCAGCGCTGACTGCGTGCACACGCATACAGTGCCCTGAGACAGGCAGAGCATCTTCTGCCCACACAATGGCAGAGACACACTGGTTTTTACTGGGAGGGCATGCAGCAGTTGTGCTGTACACCTGTCATCAGCGGTGCTCACCCAAAGCACCGCGGTGCTTGAGTACAGGCAGCACATCAGCACGAAGTGCCCCCCCCACACACACCCCCGAGTGCCCAGCTCCACTGCAGTGCACACAACCCCCCCCCGCCCCAAGTGCCCCTCACCTCGTTCACCATCTGGTGCTGCTGCACCGTTCGCTTCTCCCTGAACTCCTCCGACTCGATGTGGATCTCGTACATAGCCCCGCAGCCTCCTGCAACCACACAGCCAGCAGCAAATGAGGGGTCCCCCGTGCCCCCCCCCCCCATTATCCCTGCTCCTGTTTGGGGGTCCCCGTCCCCCCCCCCCCCTCCTCCCAAGCACGCAGCCGGTTCGGAGGGGCCCAAAGCGCTCTCGGCTGTACCTGAGATGTCCACGACGCGGATGGCGGCGGCGCGGGGGAACTTCTCCCTCAGGACGCGGCTCACTCGCGCCTCGCCGTCCGTCTGCGAGCTGAAGCTGCGCCAGGAGCTGCCCCGCAGCAGGAGCTGGGGAAGGGAGGGGAGGGGGGGGGAAACATCCCTGAGAAACGCTTCTGGGAATGGGGGAACGGGAAGAGGATGGAGAGGAGGAAAGCGCCGACACCGTTAGCGGGGACGCGGGGACACTCACCGGGCCCCAGCCCCGCAGCCCCACAGCGGCCGCCATGTTGGGCCGGAGGCGGGCTCACGTCCCGAGCTCAGCGGGCACCAGCCAATCAGCCAGCAGGGGGATGCACCGCCGCGACCCCTATCGGCTCGGAGGACCCTGGCCGGGTGGGGGGGGGACACGGGACGGGACTTGGGGTTGCTGTGGCCGCTCTCTCGGGAGCCCCGGGGGGAGCATCCCGGTATTCCAGGATGTCCAGAGCACGGGAGCCCGGTTGGATGGAGCAGGGCAGAGCAAGGTGCTCCACGGCCCGTGAGGAAGGGGCTCTCGGGTCTCAGGGCGTTGATTTTCGTAATCACGAACCATCCCTTCCCCATCGCCTCGGTGCTGGATGTGGTCATTCCCTGCCAGCCACGGTCCATAAAGCACCTTGAGAAACAGAGGGAGGAATCAAGGCAGGAATGAACACCCAAAGCCGCTCCACATGGATTTCCAGCAGGAAACTCACCCTCACCATCACCCAACCAGACCTAACCTGAACCCCTCCAGAGCCACAGGAGCTGGAAATCCATCTGGAGTTGAGTGGGATTTGGGTCCCTTGCCCTGCCTGCCCAGACTAGATCCATTCTTTCCCAGCAGAAAAGCCAGCTTTGGAAGGAGGTGTTTCACTTTCCAGGTTTCCAGTTCTGTAAACGCCTGATCCAGGTGTGAGACTGATGCTCCTGTCCCTGTACAGAATCCACTGGGACCTCCTGCCTTCTTACAGCCACCCATGCTGCTGGCTGCAAATGGTGCCAGCCTGGCGCTGTCCTTGATGTGCTTGGGGTGGGTCTGAGATCTGGGAAAGCCGGAGATGTTTCTCCCTTGCTCCCACAGGTGTTACTTTAAATGGGTCTTTCTGGTTTCAGCTGATGTGGATTGATGCGAAAGGCAGTAGCAAATCAAGCAGTTCATAGCCTGTGCCCATCATTTGCCTATTCTAATGAGAAGCAAAAGGAGTGAACTCCCCACCCAAGCAGTCCCATAACTGATGCCACAGATACCAAAGACCATGGTGTGTGGGGTGACTCTTGGTCTTCAAGGTGCCCAGCAGGTCCCCATCACCCCAATGGGCTCATCTGGAGCCTCCCCAGCCACACATCCTTCCCCAGTGGCCCCAGCTCTGTATTTAAGCTCAGGTCAGGAGCAGCTTTTCCCTTCTCTGGGAGCTGTGTTAGAAATACTTTATTTTTCTATTAGTTTTTCTATTTTATTGCTGTATTTATTTTCTGTCTTTATTGTGACAGTGCTTTTGGGCTGCCTTTGATTCCTGTTTACTGTGAGGTTATGTGTATGAGGGGGAATCTCTGATTTCCTGCTGTCCTTAGGTTTAGGTTTGTTTGCCTTCTGGTTTCGTTGTCATTTGCTTGCATTGCCTCAGCTGGTACCAGTCTGCGACTTGATGGGTTTTTTGCTCCTATTGCCTGACAAAAGAAGACTGGAGCATGTTCTTTTTGAAGCATGCTTGTTAGCTTTTTGCCCTATTGAGTACACCTAGAAATGCTTGGTCTGCTCGCAGCACAATGGTAGAGCTTCTTGTTATCCTAATCTCTGGCAAGCTATCTGATATCTTTTTAAGCTTAGTTCAGATGAAAGGGGCTCTTCTGGTGACCTGCCCCTATGGATGGGGACCATAGGTGACCTCCTGAGAGTATGGACGCTCTTTCCAGTTCAAGTCAGAGCCCTTGTGCTTTTGTTCTTGCTCTGGATGTGGAGATGTAAGTAAGGTCTGGAGCACTCACTGTCATTCCTGAGATTCTTTTCCTCTGTCTTTAATCTATATGAGGAGGGAGAAAGCTTGCAGTGATAATGCTGTGATGATTATTACCACCTCTGCTATGGGGTCTGGATTCTGGGGAGGCAGGAACAGGAGAAGCAAAACTCTCATCCCAGGTACAAAGGCCACGTAGTTTAACCTGAGCCACGCAGCCTGGAATTGCATGGAATTCTAGGTGGCAAAGCATGAATGGATATCCGTGTTTGCGGCACTGTTCCGGAGCTCACCATGTGTAGGTGATGCCCAGCACAAGGTGGTCTGTGCTTTACAGATAGTACCAAGCTATTGTGCAGCCTCTGCACTTTCCCACTTGGAAACTCCATTTCACTTACTTCATTGATTTCTTTCTCAGCTTTCTTGCAAGAGGTTCCTGCTCTCCTGTTTCCCCTCAGGCTTTGCTGTTATGTGGAATGATTTCCCCCTTAACTGCTGCTGGGATTAACCCCTGCTTGCAGTTTGGAAAGCCCATCTCAGTTGCATCTAGAACAAATCAAATCCTGTTACTCCAGCTTGCTGCATTTCATTACCTCCCTCAGACACCTACAGCAGCTTAAGAGGAACGGGGACAAAATCATCCTTTTCACTCTTATAACAAGAAGAAAACCTGCAAAATGTGGATTTTAGTGTCCAACCTGTGAGTAAGTTTCACACAGTGTGAGCTGGGACATCCTTATCTGCAGCCTGGCGCTCAGAGCATCAGGAAGTCACCTGAACCTGCAGCCAGGAGGAAAGGAAACAATCCAACTCAAATCATATAGAGAGCTTTGTTCCCTGCTGTAGGCCACTGTTACCTACTGTTACTGCTTGAAACCACAGCCCTGTTATTCCACGAGCTAAAGCGATCAAGAGGAGATGCCTGTTTCCTGAAGAACATCAGTGTAAGAGGCAACAGATAAGAAAGGAAATAACAGAGAAAAGCAATGAAATGCAGGAGTTTGAACCTGGCTGTTCCCCAACCAGCCATAATGGGCATTTCCATGTCATCTGTAACGTTCCTCCATTCCCCAGTATTCCTTTTGGAAGCCTCCTATGCCTGAGGACTCGTGCCAAGCTTGGCTATCCATGATGCCAGCTGAGCAAAGGGGAATGGCCATGGTCTGCCACTGCTAGTTTTTGACACGTTCTTGTTTGAACTTGAGCTAAAAGATGAAAGAAATAGAAAGGGAAATGTACTGAGACAAGCACAGATTTCTCTGGTTTGCTTTTGCCATGGTATAATGCCTTAGCAGCTAGAATTAGCCCTACCAGACCATCAACTGCTACTGAAATGTCTGCAACTAATTCAACACAAGAGTTTTATGGGAATGAGCCTAAGACTCACTAACCTAAGTCTTTACGCTGACTGCTCTGCAATGATGAGCACAAGGCTAATCACAAAGCTCTCTGAAATGGGTTTTGACCATAGCCATCGATGTTAGAACACTTTCTCATGCCTCCTTTTGCCAGCAAGAGGCAGGAATCCATGCAAGCTGCTCAGTTAATAGAGATCTCTCTGGACTGATCTCTGGAATTTGGGAAAGGAATGTGGATTTGCCTTTAAGTCCTGTCTCTTGTTACAGTTCTCTTTAGCCCCTGCAGGTAAAGTCAGATATACAGAGTATATCGAGCTGAGTATTCTCTGTGGACACTGTCATTACACACAGGTGGTGGAAAGCTAGAGCTCAGATTGCTTTAATAGGCACATATCTCCTCTTTAGGGCTGATTCCCAGTCCATGTCACCATGGAACTGGCAGGAGAGACTAAGTACTACACAGGACTGAATTGCACTGTCTGTGGGCTAGGATTTTACATGCTCTCTGCGTATGTATTCATCATTTAACCTATATGAGGACTAAGCCTCTCAATGGTAGGCAGGTGTTAGAGTCTCAGACCAGGTGGGAGGGTTATAATAATTCCATTTAGAAAGAAAATAGCAATGCAGGTCAAAATCTGGGCTGTTTGCAAACCTGATCCTGTTTGGAAAGCATTTGACTTTTCACTCCTGCCACAGCTTGTCATGTGAATGTCCATCAATGCCAAACCACCATGAACTCTGCGGAACAGCTCTTGACACCCACTGGAATACAAAGTGAGCTCACTAATGAGCAGCCAGTCCGCCATGACATTCCCCAGCATTCATAGGATGGGGTTTTTAGGTGCAATCCATTAAATACGCATGGGCTGGGCATAGTCCTTTTTGGTTTACTCACCACTGCAGATACTGATGCTTAATCTCTTCCTCGGTGTCCTGGGTATGTTTCTTTCTGCGTCTGTAATGTGATTCTGTGCTTTTCTAATAAGCACAATGATTGAATAGAAAGCAAGCTCAAACTGCAGGGGTTCTACTTAGCAACTTTCCAGCCTGTATGTGCTTTATTTCCCACCAACCAGTCGTAATGTAGGTGCAGTTTCACCCGTGAAGTGATTCCTGTTCTTAAGTAGTTAACGTTCATTCCCAGTTGGGAACCAATTCCAGTCCAGAACATGTGCCACTGCTTTTAGTTAAGTCCTTGGAAATACTACACAATCCCCAATGTCAGTGCAGTTAGAGACAGGGACCCTTGCTGGCTGTTAACAGAGCTGAGGAGCGTACACAGAGGCTCACATCCTGAGGCAGGGCAGAAGAGCTTTGTGCTGTTCATATTGTCACTATTCCTGTGCTGTCTTGATGCTCCTGCTGTTTGAGCCCCTTGGGAGCAACCTAGAAGGGAGCAAATAGGGCTTGCACAGAGGCTACAACTAATCACTTGAGAAGCAGCAATAATGCAAGCTCTTGAGAGCCTATCTGGTCAGGAGGGGGATTGAGGGAATGACACGTTTCCTGGGTCTATATGACATGACAGTCAAAACGTCTTCAGTTGAAGACTCCTTTGACCACTTCCTTTCTCCCCAGCATCAACTAGGGGATTTAAAGGCTAACGTAATAGTGTACTCTTCACTTACAGGTTACCTGCTGAATGTATTTAAAAGGCAGTAAGCCAATACGTCATTTTTATGTCTTCTCCAGCCTGTTTTTCATCTTGGATGATATCTCTGCAGTATGGCTTGGTTGGACAGAGCCTTGGGTGACATGGTTTAGTGTGGGGTGTCCCTGCCCATGGCAGAGGGGTTGGAACTGGGTGATCTTAAGGTCCTTTCCAACCCTAACCATTCTATGATATTTTGGTGCCTTCCAGTGCTTAAAGTCCGTGTCTGTAGACACCTGGCTACAGACACATCGAATTCCACTGCGTATCAATTGCATTTTAAACACCTGTATAACTTTCATTTCAATCAGCAATGCTTTCTGCACACCTCTGGGATGAGTTAGTAGATGATGCTGGTCATAACAGTGAGCTGATTGTCCTGCAGAAGTGGCAAATACTGACTGCAGGTAAATACGTTGCTGTTTCTTCTCGCTCATACTACACCCCTACTTACACTATGTATGGGTCTTGTTTGCATTTTGAACCTTTTAAAAGGGTGGGAATTGCTTCATTTCTACATTTTACAGCCTGTGATAATAAAGTTTCTGGGACAACCACAAATTGCTGCCTGCTTGCTGCATCTTCTAAGCAAGCTTGGTTAGGGACTCACTCACA